TGATTAGTATTGGTAGAGGGCTGTATGACAATAATGCTGGTACAAAATGTAGTATGTGTCTTGGGTGCAGCGTAGCATCCATCTTCAGGCACCGGTTCACTTTTGGGGCTGATATGTGCTGTCCTTCAGAACTTGCTAAGACATTTCTTTTTGTGTTGTAATTGAAGTTACTCATCATTGTCTTGGTTGTGCTGAAGTTTGCCATCTTTCTGAAATATATGTAGTTGACTGTTCCAAGGACGGGAACCATATTGCTGTGGCAAGAAAGAATTCACTCAGGATATTATCACCAGATTTGAAGGAAACATGTTGCATGGCCCTCTTGTTTCAGTTGTGGCCTGATAGTGATTCAGAGGGCACTGACATCAAAGGTAATGAGTCTCCATTTTGGTTTTTGGTATATGTCTCAGGTATATATTGAATTGTTGGGTTGCTCCAATTTTCTTGCTGTATCTACAAGGACAAGAGTAAAATAATACTAAATCGATGAATCTAATTATTGGAGAAGTAAAGTGTGCACCACAAAGATCATGGGATGAATGTTGAAACCAAACTTCCCTATATTGTTCCCTAATATCATCTCAAAATTTCCTACGGAACTTTGCATCTTTATCAATGGTTCTTCGATATATAATTTCAAAAGATGGCTATGATACAAATTTTAGCCTGTGGTGCACTTCACAAATATTTTTTACACCATGTTGTCCATCCTGCAATGTGATCATATTTGTGAGCTGTGTGTTGCTCGCTCATTTTGCACCTAAAAAGAACCATGCTTGCTAGCATGATCTACTACAGATTAAAAATCAATTTACAAGGAAAAGAATATATCGTGAGTCAACGACCAAACAAGCTAACTCTCAGGGTAGCAACATGATCATATTTATGAAACTGCATTATGTTAGTGCCGCAATCAGCCACGAGGCCATCAGGCATAACTGCATATCCTTATAGAACTGGGGAAGGGGTGACTGTGTATACAGAAAATAACACCATTTAATACATCAAATCATGTTTAGTAGTAGATGTTACCATGATTCTTTGTTGATATTATATGTTCAAAATTTCATCAGTGGATTCCATCGGGTGGGTTCGCGATGATAGCATTGTTGTCGGTTGTGTTCGATTGAATGAAGAAAGCAATGAAGAGGGTTATCTGGTCCAAGTTATAAGAAGTGGAGGAGATACATTTTTTGAGGTGAATTGCTCTTCTAGTTCTGGCTGCTTCTCCTCTTTTAATTCACATTTTGTTGTGTGGCGTTTCTTTGGTGAATGTGTCATTTGCTAAATGTTCTTTCTGGGAACATTCTTGGGTAAAGCTACATTTTTCGAGGTGAATTGTTCTTCTAGTTCTGGCTGCTTCTCCTCTTTTGATTCGCATTTTGTTCTGTGGTGTTTCTTTGGTAAATGTGTCATTTGCTAAATGTTCTTTCTGGGAACATTCTTGGGTAAAGCTACCTCAGTTTGGCAAATATTTATTTTAAAGCATATTTATGCACACAAGACTAAGTGTGGTCGGTAGTTGTATGTATTTAAGAAATGTAAATCAAATACTTATGGTATTATCCTTCAAAACACAATTTATATGACAGAAAAGTGATCCCATTAGATTCGCATTCAAAAGTGCTAGTAATGATTGAAATTTTCTATGACAGAAACCACATATTATTGGAGTAATAATTGATCAAAGCCTTGTCTTAATGAATCAGATGTATCGCCATTATCTGAGTGATAGTCTTGATTTTCATTTTATTGTTGGTTGTCTGTGTGTGAAAAATGGTGTTTTCACTCTGCACATGTTGGCAAATTATGCTGAAATCTAGGAATGAAAGCACCCTTTGAGCCATACTGTGCCCGCTGCCAAAGAGATCTCAGGCTTGTTGGATGTGGTAATAATATCAATATTGTCACTGACTTGTAGATTATTCTTCATGAAGACTAATCTTTTGAAGTGGCAGTTGTCACTTGTAACTCCTTGAGAGCAGAGTCCATTAGTAAACTACTTGCATGTATGTCTATCCAAAATTACTGAACTGATACTTCGTTCTGCATAAATTTATCCTGAAAAGATGTAGGAATGCCACATACTCCATCCGTCCCAGAATAAGTGTCTCAACTTTGTACTAACTTTAGTGTTAGTACAAAGTTGTACTAAGCTTGAGACACTTATTTTAGGACGGAGGGAGTATATACTAGAATTAAGATGTATTGGGCTATTGCCTATTAGGTTCTGTAATGGATATGATCACGTGCTGGTAATGGAGTATTATATTTAACTTAGGAAGGAAAACTCAGCTATATGCGGTGACCCTTTTGTATTGTGTAACAAAACATATTTACTAAGATATTCTAGTTTGTGCTCCCTTTGACTTCTGAATTTCCGTACTGACTGGCTGAAGTAATGTTATTGCTTTCTTAATGCCTTATAGAGCTCAAGCAAGCCAGTTGTTTTTAGCTATGATGTTTTCGGAGGTATCATGGATGATATTTTACCATCTGGAGTTGGACCAAATCTGCTATTGGGCTATCTGCATCGCTGGTATGCAAAACCGGACTCAACATTCTTTATTCAACAATACCTCTATAATCTATAATCTATAATCTAGCTATTGTTTATTTCATGTACTTTGTGTGCATGGTGGTGTTGGAAAGAACCTTTTTTCCCATAAATACTGTAGGGGAAGCCTATATGCCGGGAAGAATTATTTAACAGAGTGCACCATAGTACCATACAGATAGATAGAATATTTGAAAAGGGTATTTGCAGATGGATTCTGTCTCTTGTTACTGTTGTCATGTCTGATATATTTGTGTAATTTGACAGGGATCTCCTGGTTGTTACAAATAAAAAGAGCACCGATGACCACATTTCTCTTTTGAAATGGCCGTCGAGAACTGATGAGGAAAGAACTGTGGTATACCTCGAAATGGTGGAGGATAAATATAGTCCTAGGATTGATCTGCAAGGTATGACATAACTCAGAAAACCACAATAACATACCCTATTCATTGTTTTGAAAACAATACCCTATTCATTGTTTTGAAAACAATATACTCCTTTTGGCTTTCAGAAAATGGTGATGACAATGTTATATTGGGGTTTGGTGTGGAGAATGTTTCGTTATTTCAGAAGATCACAGTACTGGTTGGACCTGAACAGAAGGAGGTTGCCCCTCAACATCTTCTACTTTATTTGACTAGTGAAGGGAAACTAATTATTTACTATCTTGCCAGGTAGGTTTTTTGTTGAAACTTGGCAGTGCCATAGTTAGATGAAAAGACTGTTTACTTTTGTACTGCATTTCCTATATACTGACATTTTGTTTTGAATATTTTCCTTGTTTTGACACTGTTCTAATTTAGGATTTCTGACCCGTCCGATTTACCTCAAACAAGTCTGTCTACCATTGAGGATAGTAATGTGAATAAACAAATTTCTCCTGCAACTGCGTCTAATAAGGATCTGACTCCAAGTGTTACAAGCTCAATGGCCAAGAGTCTGCTCGCAGGACCTGGGGCATCTAGCGCACCAGCAGGTAAGAGATCGCTACTCAGGACTCAGGAGTTACTATCTTGCATCTCGACCTCTGCTGGGCTGTTTTCTATATTTCTTACCAGTGTTGGAAACTTAAAGAATTCTGCTATTTCTTTTATTCTTGCAGAGAAAGATCAGCATGGATCAGGAGATGCAAAGAGCAGTTTCCCAATTTCAAATAGCAAGGACATAGCTGCTGGCAGTTCATTGCTTATCTCTTCTGATAAGAAGCCATTGGATACCAAGCAAGTGAACACGGCTTCCCCATTTGCACCTCCTTCTAGCTCAGCACCAACAGGCAACATGAAACCTGGAATGCCGTTCAGCTTTTCAACAGGTAATAATGTTGGTCTAAATTCAACAGGAAGCAAGGGATCTAGTGAACCAGTATCTTCATGGCAACCGAACACCAGCGGCAGTTTTGTAAGCAGCCAACTTGGTAAAGGTGGCTTCGATTCAGCCAAACCACTGGGAGCATTTGGGGGGTCTCAGAACGCTACAAAAAGTGGTGGTAGCCTTAGTTTTAAATCATCAGTGTTCAGCTCAGATGGATCTGTTCCAGTTAAGACTGCAGAAAGGGATGGGGCTAGTAGTTTCGGAAGCTACCCAGCGCAAACCAGCTACACTACTGAGAGGAAAGTTCTTGGTTCCTCAGCTGGCTTAAGTTCTGTGCCATCATTGTCGATTTCTCCAAATAAACCAGTTGGAGCTTCATCTGCTGGGTTTGGGGCAGGAAATCTTGAAGTACCTCCTGTCTCCCGTGGATCACCTCTGCCACAACAAACCATTGGCAAATCACCCAACAACAGGAACCATACGTCAGCGGATTCAAAAAATTTCAAGTTGGGCACAATGTTTGATACCCAACAAGATCTATCTAAGAAGATTTACAGTGTAAGATCAAGCTGTTTTAGTGTAATGTTTACTATTAAGCCTTGCTGTGTCATCTTATCTGACTCATCGTGATATACATATCTATCATAAGTATCCTATTGATTGAATTTCCTAAATACGTTCACCTTGTCTAACTTTTTCAGTGCATTTCCTTTGATATGCATATCTCCATTATTGAGTTTCTTGCATATGTTTATCTCGTTCAACCTTAAATAGAACATTCTTTTGCACCAGTCCAGAGACCTGATTTTTTTTATTCTATTCTTCAATTGTTTCATGCTAGGACCATATTCCTCTCGTGACTATAGTAAACATGTTATCCTCCAATGTATTAAATAATTTAAATATTGGATTTGGATCTACTTTACAGTTTGCTACCTCACTGAGCACTTAACTGCCAGAATGCATGTGTTGCATCTTCTCTATTTTGACCAATAAGTTTTGCCCTTTCATTAAACAGATAAATGATATGACCGAGGAGTTAGATACCCTCCTGTCATACATAGAAAAAGATGGTGGTTTCAGAGATGCTTGCATGACCTTGCAGCAGCGTCCTCTTTCAGTTCTTGAGGGTGATCTGCAAAACCTCTTGGAACTATTGCAGGTCTTCAAGGTAATTTATTTATTTTCATCTGGACTTTTCTTGAGGGTCTCAGACATTATTTGCAGTACTGCCTGTTCAAAATTATTACTTAACATGTCTTATTGTGAACTCCAGAACAAAGTAGAGGAACAATGTTCAAAAGCTGAAGATCTTCGAAATAAGATGTTCCAAGGTACTTCCTGTTTATACCTGGAAATAGAACAATAAGAACACTTCACCTTAAACTAGAACAAATGCACTGTCATAATGTCGTTAGTGATTAATATATACCTGGAAGAAATAATTTAATCATCATTCAAATCTTTCGATACGCTATAGACCAGCGCCTTTGTAATCTATAGTTACCTGAGATCCCCATGCACTTGGTTTGGTGCCATGTTCTTTTTTGGCAGAGAAGTTACTGAACCGCACTTTTTTTTGGAAAAAATGTTGATATATTGTATCTCTCATCTATTGATGCTCATAACTTTGCTTACTTCACAATTCCCCTAACACATGCATCCTACACATTTTAGAATTTTGAGCCCCCCTTCGAAATATTATTGTTTAGACATAAAAAGAGTCCACACTATACAATTTCACTATGGCTGTTAGGTCAGGGTACAAACTGGGGGTTCTGTGTGTTGCATCTGAGCAGATATCTGATGCATCTGGTGTGTCTAACGAGATAAATCTGCAGAGAGTTTACCAAAGGTTTCTCATTGAATCCACTATACCAGTATCTGAGTGCTGTGTGGCCGTCTGCTTTAACAAGCTTCTATTAAGTTGAAATATTAACACTGTTGTGCTGCTTATCAAAATCATGGTATCACTTATAAACTTTCCTAGGCAATGCACCTTAAGTTTACCAGCTGATCTATGAGGATTTTCCAAGTTATTACTGGTAGTTTTGAAGTTCTGTCAATCCCTTGACATGGAAAACATAGTGTCTGTACTCTGGAGAGATAAACAGTTAATCCACTTGCGCCCAAGCTTTTTTCTGGGCGAGGAAAAATGTCCAAATAAACATTTGACCTATGCATTGAATGACCTTATTTTCTGTTTCTCCTCAGTTTCTGCTAGGCAAGCTTATATGAAGGGAATTCTCACTCAGTCTTCAGATACTCAGTACTGGGATATATGGAACCGCCAGAATTTGAGTCCAGAATTTGAGGCAAAGAGGCAAAATATTCTCAAAGCTAATCAGGTACTACTGTCTAATTCAAGTGCTTTTGAAATATTAATGAACTAATGGCTTTTCCTTTTATTATCATATAGGATTTGACAAATCAGCTGGTAGAGCTGGAGAGGCACTTCAATAATCTGGAGATGAACAAATTTGGTGAAACTGGAAGAGTTGCTTCAAGTCGTAGAGCTGTTTATTCCAACAAGTCACGGTCTAGGTATTCACCTACTATCTCGGTAGAGTATCCCAATGCATTTTGTTGATATTAACATCAAATGGATGACAAACGTGGAACAATATTCAAACAGCTGCTATTGTGATTTTGGTCCAAAATTAAATCAATCATTTTGCTAGCATGTTCGGAGAGATCTGTAAATCCCTCTTGACATAAAAGGGATGGGTTTTTGCTTGCATGTGTGACCTGTATTAACTTGTTGAAATTGCTTCTCATTTTAACGTACCTGACAGTGTTGGTTGTGGTGTGACCTTAGTGGTAGAAATACAGTGTAATTAATTCAGAATACTGTTCTGCGAATTTGGTAAATTTGCTGTGTTATAACCATGCCTGTCTTCTGTACCACTTTTTGTAGTGAGTCATTTTCCAATTCCATCCATTTTTGTGAGCTTCTTACCTGATTTCCAGTATTTACTTGACAGTCAGACACAGTTATCCAGCGTGTACAATGCACTGAATTCGCAATTAGCAGCAGCAGAGCAACTATCTGAATGCCTTTCAAAGCAGATATCTGCACTAAATATAAGTTCTCCTTCTAAGAAGCGAGGGGCAGTGACCAAAGAGTTGTTTGAATCAATTGGTCTAGCCCATACGGCAGATGCAGCCAAATTTTCAGGCGGTACCCCTTCCAAGTTAATTCAAAGGTTTCCATCCACGAAAGAGCACACAAAGGGCATGCTGGGACCTTCCAAGAGTGCTGAACCTGAGACTGCACGAAGGAGGAGAGAGTCACTGGATAGGGTAAACTCCCAGACCAAAATTTGCATTTGTATCTAATATGCATGTGATTTGCAAAGAAGATGTTGATCTTCAGTTCCCAACTCCCATTAACCCCCATCCTGCAAATCATGTGATTTGCAAAGATGTTTTCTCTTGGCATATGTTTGCTCTATACCTCTTTTCTTTTGTGTTCTACGTGGTTGACTGGAAGCAGATCTAACATGAGTTCCTTTTTTTTCTGATAGAGTTTGGCTAGTTTGGAGCCTCAGAAAACTACTGTAAAGAGAATAGCGCAGCAACAACGCCTCAAGATTAGCAGTGATCTCCCATTCAGGTCAAACAAGAAAATGTTTGATTCTCAAATGGCAGCTATCTCCCAGGAAACTTTTGGTGGTAGCCCCAGTTCATCAATAGTCGAATCATATACTAGCAGGGTTCGTTCTCCAATTGAAGGTAAGTTATTGGCCGTAGGCATTGATAGATACATGGGTATTTCAAGGAGGTCCTGATTATAGACACTGTTACAACATATGACATTCTGCTTGTCTTTTACAGTGCTGGATGAGAAAACAAAACCGTCAGGACCCCAGGGCAACTCTTTGTTCAAATGGGTAAAGGAACCAGCTGGGTCATCTCAGGGTTCAGAGCAAAAGCATCTTGACTTATCAGGGCGAATGAGAAGTGCTGATCAGTCTTCAAAGTTGACACCATCTTCACCGGCATCATTCAGTTACACACAGAAGGATGCAAGGGATAGGACCAGCACACCTAATGTTGCATCTTTAGGCACAATGCATACCGTGCCTAAGTCAAATACTCTGACCTTCAAAACCAATATAGCTCCTAAAACTAACACCAATACACGGCCAGATATGTCACCTTCAGTGTCGAGCCCGATGCCTGTCAAAACTTTGTCTGGGGATTCTGGAGCTGGATTTACCTTGACTACAAAGAACAGATATGGTGACCAGGACGTACCATCTTTTGGAAGCATGAAAGGGTTTGGCATTTCTCCACAGAATACAGGTGTTAATAAACCATCTTTGTCTTCTGAACCTTCTAAGCCTGTTGTGTTGCATGGGAAGACTTTCCAAGTTAGTGGAGTCAGTGATACTATGCAGAACTCAGCCAAAGCTTCACCCCAGGTGGCATTTTCACCAACATCACAGTCATCTTCATTTCCTATAATGTCAGGTGCTTCCTCTTCAGCTGCATCGCTCTTATCAACCATGCAAGCATCAGCTGCAAAGACTTCTGATGTTTCATCTCCAACGGTTTCTTCCACACTCCCACCACAGGAGTCAGCACCAAAAACTCACCCAACAGTACCTGAGGGTACCGTGTCTTGTTCCCTGCCATCTATACCAACACCTGTTAAGGAGTCATTACCTGGCTTGAATAAAAATGCATCTACTAAACCTGAAGTGGTGGCACCAGAGGTAACTGGAACCACAGTCTCTGTAAGTGCTACTTTAACAGGCGTACCTACAAGTGAAAGCAAAACTGCATTGCTTCCGGTGACCAATAGCAGCTTACCTTCTAATCCTCCATCCATTCCTGTGCCTAAAGTTGTGCCAGGGGCAACAGAATCTGCTGTTGTCACTTCCACAAGAAAAGATGGAGGACCAAGCAATCTCTCATCAGATGAAGATGAAATGGATGAGGAGCGTCCTTCTGCAAGTGCAGATCTAAACTTGGGAGCCCTTAGTGGGTTTGGTCTTGGGTCCGCACCTTCTTCAAGTCCTAAAAAATCCAATCCTTTTGGGAGCGCATTTGGTACGTCTGAGAGTAAAAGTTCAAGCTCACCGTTTACTTTGACCACCAGCCCAGGACAGCTTTTCCGTCCAGCATCACTGAGCATTCCTTCATCTCAGCCAGCACAGCCATCTCAATCAACTAGCTCAAGTACATTTTCTAGTGCATTCTCAAGTGGGCTTGGTGGATTTGGACAGTCTGCACAGATTGGATCAGGGCAGCAGTCGGGATTTGGGCAGTCTGCACAAATTGGAGCTGGTCAGCAGGCAGGTTTTGGGCAGCCAGCACAAATTCAGTCAGGATTTGGCCAGCCGGCACAAGTTGGAGCTGCGCAACAGTCAGGATTTGGGCAGCCTGCACAAATTGGGGGTGGGCAGCAGTCAGGATTCGGGCAGCCTGCACAGCTTGGTGCTCAGCAGGCGCTTGGATCTGTTCTGGGTTCTTTTGGACAATCACGCCAGCTAGGAGGCTTTGGTGGATTTGCTAGTTCCTCTTCTGGGGCTTTTGCTTCTGCACCTTCCAGTAATTCTGGATTTGCTGGTGCTGCAGCAGGTGGAGGTTTCTCTGCAGCTGCTACTTCTGTTGGTGGAGGGTTTGCTGCTGCTGCTACCGGTGGAGGGTTTGCTTCTCTTGCCTCCAAAAGCGGTGGTGGTTTTGCTGCCGCAGCTTCATCTTCTGGTGGTTTTGGAGGTGCAGCCCAGGGTGGTGGTTTTGGAGGTGCGGCCCAGGGTGGTGGTTTTGGAGGTGCGGCCCAGGGTGGTGGTTTTGGAGGTGCGGCCCAGGGTGGTGGTTTTGGAGGTGCAGCCCAGGGAGGTGGCTTCGGAGGTGGTGAGATCTCTAGAATTTTTGCTCTATTTTGGATGCACATACTTATATACTTGGCCTATATCTATATGTTCATGATTTGATGTGCTGGGTACATATTTCCTTGTCAAGACATGTCTCTAAAACGCTAACTAGTTGTCCAACTGTTTATTAACTATTTGAGCCAAAGTTCTAACTAATGGTTAAAGAATGGAACTGTCACCTAACCTTATACACATCCTTCTCCATGATTTAACTACTTCCAATCCAGATAATTATATACATATTTTTTTTTGCAGTATAAAAAAAGCACCCTTGTACATCTTATACGCATAATGAAACTCGCAGCAATAGTACACGGTAGCAGCAGAAAGAGGGAGACCTGACTGAAGTATGCTTTGTTAAATGCCTCATGTCTGACGTTCCATTCTATAGGAACATAAATTCCTGCTGTTAAATGGCAGTGGTAAATGTTTTAACATCCAGTAAACTATATAAACGACCTTTCCTATTAGTTTGAACCTTTGAATTGAATTTAACAGCAGTGTATGGCTTACCTTTACCTTGTTATTGGCCTTTTACAAGGCCACAATGGCCTCTATTTAGCAGTGATTTGAGCTAGCTGATTGAATGACAATTACAATTAAGTATAGTAAATGTTTGATTTTCTGTGAGTGAAGTATATTAAATCTGACATGTACTAAATATTCTTTGAAGTTAAACTGTAGAATAGTGCTTGTTTCTTCTGGAAAGAACACCAACGCATAATGCTTTTGGCATATGAAAAAAAAGAGAGGTTTGGCTTTCTTGTCAGGAATAGCAATAATCAGGTTTTGATGAGGTTGCTTTATTTAGTTGGGGCTGTGTTTAGAATATACTCCCAAAACAAGTGCATTTTTTCTTTATTTTCCTTGTAAAAGTTATCTGGTCTTGGGTTTAGGAGTAGCCTAAGTATTTAAGATACTATTATCTTTCTGCACAGCCGTGATTACTAAACTGAACAAATAATCAGTTTCAGTATGTTATTAATTACTCCCACCGTCCCAAAATAAATGTCTCAACTTAGTATAAACTTTAGTACAACTTTGTACTAAAGTTGAGACACTTATTTTTGGACGGAGGGAGTACTTAGCTATTGACCGTTTTGTTAAAAACATCGCCAATCAATTATTACTTGAGTATTGGTGTTTTCATGTGTATTTCCAAATGTAGGCTTGTTGTCCCACAAGATTATTTTTGAGATAATCGTTTTAGTTGACATAACAGAGTAACAACTTATAATCAATTTGGCCTTCTGGGGGTTTGTGACTAAATGATGAGTTTTACTTATAGCTTGATCTTATACCAACTTTGTTGTCTGCAATTTTTTAGGACTAACATAATTTGGTTGATCTTGAAGGTGGTTTTGGAGCTTTTGGCAGTAATAACCAAGGGTCTACTGGTTTCTCATCATTTGGTGGGAGTGGCGCTGCAGGGCCTGGAAGACCCCCGGCGGATTTTTTGACGCAGATGAGAAAATAGTGCACTTTGTCTCCAGGCACCCCCAAGTACTGTCCAGAAATGTTCAAACGGCTTTTGCTGTTGTATGTAAATCAAAAACCTTTTTTGACATGCTGGATGACAACATTTGTGCGAAAGCTGATGTTGCTAAGATGGAGCTCCAATTTTCGCCTGTCCCGTATTCAGTACAGCACTACAGCATTTAGTCATCGTTCTGAAAGACGAGAGTATTCGTGGCAACAACAATGTTTTAGGTGGGAACAACATATTGTTGTGGTTGGTTCATGATGCATTCATGTATGCTGATGCTGGGTCTCGCCATTGCCAGGTACCTTGTCAGCAAAAGACATCTTGAGAGAGTGCAAAAGAGAAGCACTCGACCATATTTTCCTAGAAAGAAAAATGATCAGTGTATTTCGCCCCTGTTTATTTTTGTACACCATCAAAAGAGGAAACGGCTGCCCCGTCCTTTTTTCTCTACGTGGCTCGGTTCACTGCTGACATCGGTTGCAAATTCACTATTCAACACCATATATTCCTTGTTGCTTTAACAGAACTGGCCGCTGAGGCTGCCAGGTGCTTACACAGGGATAAAAAACAAAAGCATACGATGCCAAGCACTTGTTAACAAGCAACGGCCTGAGGTATTCGCTTATCTTTGTGCAAATATAAGAAGGGGAAAAGCTACGGCTGGAAGGAGTTTATTCCATGTCTTAGCGCGCCATACTATAGTTTCCTTCTCTCTTTTGGCCCGCGAACCGATGCTGGAGGAATATATGCATGGTTTTAGTTCCTCCTTGTGATAACCGATTGGTCATATTTGTTGACAACTTAATGCGGAAGGAATCCGGCAGGTGCTTGGAACAGAACATATGCACGCACGTACGCCTCACTCAGTTACAGGGACGCCCACAGGTACAAGCATATCATGAGGACGTGAACCCGTGGCTCATATCTCAGTATAATTAGGTGATGATCTGTTCCTGGTCGCAGTGACAAGCTGCTGATTGATTCCCTCTACACCTTAGAGCAGATTTAATCGATCAACGTAACAGCAGCAGCAGCAGGGAAGCATAATCCAACGGAACCCAAAGAGGAAGGCGCCGGCTTTTAAAAGAAGAGAGAAAATACTGCTCCGCGGCATCACCCACCCCCTTTGCTTTTTGTATGGTCAAGCTTTCCCTGCAAGCCCCACCGCATCTAGCAGCCGCAGCCAAAATCTCATGTGGTTTTGGCATGGGTGAAAATGCCAAAGCGGCATAAGCCAACCAGTTCATCATCATTAGCATTGCTACTTTGCATGCCACATGTAGAAGTACTAGAGCCAAACCAACCAACAAACAGTGAAGCTGCGGCGTCGGCTTCAAAGCTCACCTCCCCAGCGTTCCTTTGGGAGGTGCCAAACTTGCCAGAGGAGACACCGCGGGGGAAGGAACTCAATGCTTATTCCGTGATTATTCCACATTCCTTGCCTTTGTGCGGACTCCTCACTCCCGAGAAGGCATCCAAGAATGGGCGCCTCCGCTTTAGCCCTCTTTTGCATGCTGCACTCATGCCCAAATTCCCCTTCTGGATGCCCGCCCTGCAGTCAAAAGATCGATGGCCGGCCCCTCCTCAGCCCCTGCGCTCCCCCGACTGATATTCCTCCTGTTCCTCGACACACACATGCAGTGAACCTGCGCGGCGACGCAGGTGATCATTGCGGATCGATCGCATGGATGGAATACTAACCAATGCTGATTGACCACAAATGTTGCCGCGCGCTCTCTCGTTTCAGCAATCAAAGAGGCCCGGAAATGACACCGGAATCGGTTCCGGGCACTCAAGGAATCTATCCAAAGAGGCCCGCAAGTTCTCATGCAACACATACAACAGCTCGAGGAATCTAAGAGCAGGGAGAGGCCTGCAAGTTCTCACCCGGGCAGCGCGAAAGTCGCCATGAGAAGAGAATGAGGTGCTCCCTCAAAAGGAAAAGATCGCGCTTCGCTTTCGGGCTTTCGCCGGCCCTTCTCAGGCCGGCGCCACGTACGTAACTTCCGGCCAAATCAGGCGCAAATGTATCATCTATGCATGCTCAGAGAGAGGTTGTTAACTTGTTGTTGTAGCTGCAAAGGGAGAAAGATCGGCCAGGGGTGGGGGGAGGGGGTGGGTGCCCTCGGAAGGAATAAGGATCATATCTCTTTTCAGCTCCTGCGAATATAGGGTCCTCGCGCTTTGAGTGTTGAGCTTGCTCCAACGATCCGAGATTCCCTCCCTCCCTCCCCCCCTGCCTCATCCATCCGTCCATCTACCTCTGCCCTTATAAGTCGAGACCCCGCGTTAGATCGCACGGGAGGTGGTTGGGTTCCATAGTCATAGGCCAAGGTTGTCTCACTCCCGGAAGGCCGGCCGTGGTCCGAGTCTTTCTTTGGTTACTAGAAATAGCGGCGCCGGTGGTAAAGCTGCAGCGGGGATCTTGTCTGACGGCCGGCCGCCCAGGAATGTGCAGCATGCAGGCAGAGCATTGCCAGTACATGACGGAGCCTGAGCAGGTAAAAGAGTTGCACCTGCAAGGAAGAATTACCTTTGCTCGACTTGTTCTGACTTGTGTTCTTACGTGAGATGTTTGATTGATGGCAGATGTATCACCAGCAGCAGCAGCAGTTTCATGATCACAGGCAGCACATGTCCTCGAGGCCTAGCTTGTCCCCGGAGAAGAAGTTCTTCATGAAGGGCCAAGGAGGGGCAGGAGGAGGAGGAGATTCGGGGCTCATCCTGTCGACGGATGCGAAGCCTCGGCTTAAGTGGACTCCTGAGCTGCACGAGCGGTTCGCGGATGCGGTGAAGAAGCTAGGAGGGCCTGACAGTAAGTAAATGATCGATTTTTTTTTTCGTTGTTCATGGCAGAAATGCATAGGTGAACCTCCTTCTGATGGCTACATTACTGATACTATCGCAGAAGCTACGCCGAAGGCAATCATGAGGGTCATGGGAATCCCGGGATTAACTCTGTACCATCTTAAGAGCCACCTCCAGGTACATGATACAGAGTTGTTATTTAGCTATTGTTTATCTAGCATGATGCATGTGTTTGTTTGAGCAAGAAACTTAGCTGTTTAACTGTTTCCTCATAGAAATTCAGACTTAGCAAGAATCTCCAAGCGCAAGCTAATGCCGTCAATGCAAAAAATGGTGAGTAAATCATAAATGGGTCTGAGGCAAAGTTATTTGCTAATTATCCAATAGATGATGTATCATTAACCCTGCTTTCGATTTTTATTTCCAGTTTATGGCTTTGGCACAGCGACGGATAAAGCGTGTGAAGGGCATGGATCATCAGGTGATCACCTGAACCGAGAGACGAACACCAGCAGGTAAGAAGTAATTTGGGTTTTTGCTACATATATATGCACTCGACTTGCATCCTACTTTTTTTAATGAAATTCGGCATATTTTGGTTAGGTCTATGCACATAAACGACGCCCTCCAAATGCAAATTGAGGTCCAGAGACGACTGCACGAGCAAATAGAGGTACGATAAAATAAACAGCGCAGTCTCAATCTTCTTCTGTACCTATGGAACCTACAGTTTATCACTGTCAGTAGTGCAGTAAGAATATATTACTATCTTCATTCAACATGACTGGTTTTTGCTATCCATGTCACCTGTAACCTTGGCTCAACCAAATCCTGGAAGCAAATGGTAGTCTTGTGCTGTTATATACGCTGGTCTGAAATGCTGCCATATATTCAGGAGTGCTCATTTAATTTCGGTGTCTTGAGCTGCACATTTTTCTTTCTCGTTGCTGTTTCTGAAACTGATAAACTAGCTACTACAATGTCTGAAGTTATTTTTCTCGAATACCAAGTCTGAAGTTATGACTTATGAGTGAGACAGTGCATGATGGGTTGATCTTTGAAGGTACAAAGGCACCTGCAGCTCCGGATCGAAGCCCAGGGGAAGTACCTGCACTCCGTGCTGGAGAAGGCGCAGGAGGCGCTCGGGAAGCAGCACGTCGTCGCCGGCCTCGAGGCGGCGGAGCCCACGCAGCGGCTGCCGGAGCTAGCCTCGTCGGTGAGACGAGGATTACTCCAGAACGACGGCTCGGCCGATGACAGCTGCCTGACCGCGTCCGAGGACATCCTCTCCATGGGCCTCTCCGCGTCTGCCACCCGTAGAGGCTGCGGCGCTCCGTTCGAAACCTCGGCGAGCGCGAGCCGCGAGGAGGACGAGGAATGCTACCTGTTTCTCGGCAAGCCTGAGGGGCGGCGTGAGGTCAGGAGGGACGGGTGCAACGGTGGCGCGGCGTTCGGGAAGGCGGCGGAGCTGGACCTTAGCATCGGCGTCGTCGCGGCGAGCAGCAGGCGGCGGCCGGACGGCGGCGACAGGCTTGACCTGAACGGATCAGGCTGGAACTGAGTGAGAGGAGCAAGTGAGATGCATGCAAGCCATGCATGGCGGAAGCGTTCTTGCTCTGAACATGATCATGCAGAGTTTCAGAAGCAGGCGCATCCGTGCATGGAAAGCCAGAACGGCAGGACAAGAGTGACGTGGTGGCCTCCTGTAATGTCTCACAGTCTGTATGCTGCAGCTGTGATTCGGTGAAATAGTCATTTTTTGTCACGATGGCTCTTGTGTCATGCTTGTGTTATTGTGCATACCTTTTTTTTTCCTCTACAGCAAATGTAGGAGCTCCACCACTTTATCAAGTAGGGAAAAAAATGACCAGTTAATAAGAAAAATTAACTGAAAAACTTATACAACGAGCTCAACTCGTCTAGCTAAACTAGGCATGGAGCCTATACCCGTGTTGACAAGACGGTGAAATGGGCTACAAAACAGCGCCAATCAACCACAAAACAACATACATCAGACCATGACGAAGAGAAACAACGATCTCTCAACTACCAAAAATATCATCACTGCATCGGGTACTAGACTAGATCCGGTATGACCTGCAAACCGAGCACACGGTTCCCCGATTGACTTCAAAAAAGTGTGCAAGATACCGCGAAAATGAAGTACACACGAAAGAAACTCTGGTTGTTGCCGACAACCAAGAAACCTCTCCATCAAAATAAGAATTCCGCTAAGACATCTTTTTTGTTTTTGGCAAACCTGAGCCCTCAAGGAGGGCTAAATTTTATTATTTAGCAACTAAGGCAATGTGCAGACAGTAATTTCCCCTTGAGGAAATAGATTGCCTCCGAGGCCAATCTGAAATTACATTCAGAGACTTTGCTGCATAGGAAGTTGCATCTAGAAGAGGATAGACAAAAATGTACTTGGAGCGCTACTGGAGTTTTCATCAAGATTTTTATTTTCTTCGTCCTTTCCCCCCATTAAACCTGCAATAAGCATAGCCTTTGTGGCATGGATGACTTGCATATTGCTCCATTTTTTCTTATTAAAGAGAATATCATTTCTTGCTTTCCACATGTTCCATAGAATAGTGAAAATAGTTTCTAACTTAAAATCTGGGTGTTGGGCATTCAGGATCATTTGAATGATATCAACTGGATAAGAAAAGGTGTTCAATATATCAGTTCTTAAGCCATATGTATACCAAACAGATCTTGAAAAATTAGAAAGAAGATATGTAAATCAGATTCTATTTGATCACATCTACAACATTCTTTTTTAATATGTTTAGAATATCTGGAAGCTCTTAAGCCTGATCCCACAGCTCTCCTAATTAATCTCCATGCAAAAGTTTTAACTCTTGGAGCTATGTTTTTACATTTCCAAATCTGATTGAAGATATGAGCTTCCTGATCCAAAGGAGAAGTTTTTCTCCGTATAGAGCTATCTTGGATTTCCTGCATAAGAGCTTTGCACTTTTTGTTGTACAATCAACATGGGCGTGTGAGTCCAATAGATAGTATCCTCAAGGTTAGCATTGATAATAGGAATATTCAAAATGCTATTATTAAGGAATCATCAAAATAAGCACTTATCTTCTCTTCATCCCGAACTTCAGAATTGGGCTTCCAAAAGCCCCTAATAATACTAGGAGAAGGACCTTCCACATTAGACTTGAGGTGATCATTAATATTCTTCCAATCTTTACACCAAGGACTAGCCCAGATACAAGAGTTACCACTGGCAATTTGAATTTGACTATTCTTAAGCATAAAAGGGAGAATCTTAATAATAGAAGCCGAAAAACCTCATCTAGGAGCACTACAGTTTGGTTTCCATATAGAGGAATTGTGAAAATATTTGGCCTTGAGAATTTTTTGCGACCAAAGAATTAGGATTCTTAATAATTCTCCAAGCCATCATAGCCACCATAGACTTAATCATAATATCCAAATCCCTGAGTCCTAAACCACCCTTATTCATAGGAAAGACCGCCATTTCATTGTGTTCCCCTTCATTGACCCCTCATTTGTGCCTTTCCAAATTTAGTAGCCGCCGCAGGCATCACCACCACTAAAGATGGGCGCACAAGCCCCTCAAACACATCTGAATCAGAAGGCATCGACTGAGAGTCGTCAACATAAGAGAGAAAGTTCTGGTTCTCGGATAGAACAATTGCATGACTAAGGTCTTTTGTGGTCATGTCCTAAAATGGTTAACATCCGGACCAGTGAACAAAGATAATGCATACTACACATGGACCGACCATTAGAGCATCTCCAACAGAAGCGCTATATAAGCGACCCGCGGTATAAAAACTACTTTTAGCGCGCGCGGACCTGGTTTCCAGTCTCCAGCGGCCGCACAAAAAGCGCGCGCTATAACTAATGCAGCGCGCGCATCAAAAATGCATCGCGCGCAGCATATTTAGTGCGTCCGGTCGCGCGCGCTGCAAACTTTGGGCTGCTGCATATGGGACCGCTTGATTGGGACCGCTGGACTCACGCGCGCAACATGTTTTACAGCGCTTGTTGGAGCAAACGTCTTCTAGCGCCCTAAAAAAACTACTTGCGCGTTGTAAACCCGTTTTTTGGGCGCCATGCATTAGGCGGCTGTTGGAGATGCTCTTAAGCTCAGTACTAGCACAACTAGCAGACTAGCATTGACTGATCATGAAGTTCAACACACTACCACATCTACCATACTAGCATACTACCATACTCCCATACTTCCACACTATAGATGGTCTGATAAACAAACTCAACATAGTACCACATATACCATAGTAGCATTGAAACCACATGGAAAACATGTACATCTACCACAACGGCATGAAAATCATCAATGCCGACAAGCAAAACCTACCATGGTACCAAAACGACACCACTAACATTTGATCTGCGACATTCTTACACAACATCATGGAGCAATACTTGCATAACATACCATACTACCTACGGATTTACTTCCACTACATGCTCACAGATCCAAGGTCCAACAAGTAGAGAGTGATCGAAGTTACATCGATTAAAGGAGTAGGATGAAGGCAGTGAACAACTTGGAGAAGAGAAGGAAGAAGGATCGTCGTCGTCGATTGAAGAAGACGATGCTGCATATCTGCTCGTTGGTGAAGAAGCATCCCGGGGTGTAGAGCTCGAAGGGGGAAAGATGGTGCGAGAGCTCGGGCGGTGAGCCAAAGGGGGCTAAATAGGACGAGGGAATCGACGGGAGGTGACCCAATTCCTCCCACCGCTTTTTTAGGGATGCGGCGAGCTCGCGCCATCTCCCCGCTTGCACGAGCTCTAGGCTGCCTTTCCCCTCCTTGCATGGTGAGAGCCCGTGGCTGAATGAAAATGGCTGATTTGATCGTTCCAGTGGGCCTGGCTGAGCGGTGCTTTAAGTTTCGTGCTATGCAGGCCCAAGAGTGCTCACAGGCAACCAAACGGGCCAAAATTGCATGCCCATGGCCTGACCAGAGGGTATGCATGCGACCAAACACGCCCTTAGCTCTAGGACCTTGCAGTTGTATACTTTCGGGGACCAAGATACTATTAAAGGTTAATTGAGCATGTGACAGTTCAAATTGATTTGCATTACATGAGCTTCATAGGAAGCCTCTGTTTCGTTCGGTTCGCATCCGACATGTGACATCGGGCGAGAGATGGGCATCAATAGAATTGGACATCGTTGGCCTGGGCCCAAGTTGTGCGCTTTAAACGTAAGAGCTATATCTCGCCTATAGCGAGATAGAGTACCGTCTCGCTATAGGCGATCACTGGATGGGCCGACCCAATATGGGTTCCTGGGGGACCAGGTTTAGGAAACTTCTATGACCAGTTCGGACCGGTTTTAAAAGTGTGTGTTAGTTTTTATCGTTTTTCTTTTGATATTCGGTTTTCAGTGTTTCTTTACTGGGTTGTTTTCAATACATATCTTATTTTTTCAGCACATTCTACATTTTTCGTATACATCTGTAATATTTGTTTTATTGAACATTTTTCTAATACACATTTTGAATATATTTTCAAATATGTGTTGACTGTTTTTCAAATGCATGATGAACATTTTTTTGAGTGGCACATTTTTTTAGAATTATACAAAAAGACATACATTGTATAAACATCATTTAAAATGTCAGGAACAATTTTTTGAAACACCTAAATATTGTTTAACTGTTGTGAATATTTTTTGAATGCTATCAATTTTTTAAGAGTTTCAAGAACATTTTTTTAACACTGCATGAACATTTTTTGAACGTATGAATTAACTTTAAAAATATATATACGATCATCCAGTTTATAAATATAAATGGAAGTAATAAAGAACAAAATTAAAAAATAAGACAGTGTCCTCCCTTGTTGGGCTGGCCCATTACGGAGGCACCATAGGCGAGCACTTCTTTCTTCTCGCTTGAAGCGAGAAAAGAAGCTCCCCTATATCTCTCATAGTGCGAGACAGATTGATCTCTCGCTGATTGGGCTAGAAATTTTAGTGGTCTTTAAATGCGGTGACAATTTTTTAAACGTGTGAATATTTTTGTAGATGTCACGCACATTTTGTTGAATAGTACAGACGTTTTCTGAAAATTAGCGAACAAAGTTTTTACACTGCATGAACATTTTGAAATGCATGACGGACATTTTGAAAATTTAAGCAAAATATGTTTCATGTCAGAACTACTAAAAAGTAAGAAACTAAAAAACATATTTAGGCATTTAAAAAATATAAATGGAAAGCGAAAGAAGAAAACAAAACCAGAAAAAATATACTCCCTCCGTTCCTAAATATAAACCTTTTTCAGAGATTTCAATACGGACTACACATGAAGCAAAATGAGTGAACCTACACACTAAAATATGTCTATATACAACCATATGTAGCCCGTATTGAAATTTTTAAAAAGGCTTATAGTTAGAAATGAAGGAAGAAGATACATACATACTGTAGAAGATGTTGGCATTAGCTGTGCCTGACCTATTACGTCTTGTACAATGCTAGGTGCTCAGCGAGGTGTTTAAAAAAATCAGTTTTTTTCTAACGCACCAGTGCCTTTTCTA